ACGATTCCAGACCGGCCATAAAACATGCAAATGGACCATGAAGGGAGACAAAGGAAACTTCTCCCGCTCAAAAAATTCACGCCTGGTATTGGCTATTCCACCCAAAGTTGGGGGTGAATAGGAACCCTCAAAAGTCATTAGCCCGAAATGATCTTTGCTCAGAAAACCTCTTCTTTTGGGACGACACACTAAAACTCTCAAGACTCTCCTCTTGAGTTTGTTTTTCGGCAGTTTTTATCTTCAAGTAACTTCGATTCGCTGTGGGCTTTCCTATCTTCAGAAGAACCAGGAGTAAACTTCCAGCTCACTCCGTTGTCTACCGCATCAGGACTATTGTTCAGCAATCGAAGCCAATGCAAGTAACCGTTTACAATTATTTAGATGCGTATTTAAGTTTCAGCCCCTTTTAAGGTGATTTTTGATTCTTTGATGATTTTCATAGGTTGTGGTTAATTGATGTGAAATACTGCCATTCTTTTACTTTTCTCTCTCTTTTCCTTACTTTGCTTCATTCTGTATATATGTGTTTTGCTTAGTTAGTTATATGTTAGATATAGTTTCATTTATTAAATCCCTTATATTCACAATCGATTGCCTCTGTTTGCTGCTCACAATTCGAAGTCACTGAATGTTTGAACCCTTGCTACATATGCTAAATTACTGCTAGCATTGCATACAGAAGGAAAGCTACTTTCCTTGGCCAGGAAAATAATCTTTCCTTGAATTGATAAATGATTATATTGTCTGCTCGGTGGACGGATAGATCAAATAATTGTAATATTGATTCTGCTACAGTTAATTCTAAGATCTAATCTAAATATTCATTATTAATCATAACCAGTTATAATTAGTCATAAATATTTCCCTTTTGAGCTGATTTACTATAGTAACTAGGAATTAAACAAGCTTCAGTCTGTATCCAGCCCTTACATAGACCTGAGATGACCGAACACCTGAGAAGAGATGATGCCCATGCCCCAGAGGACCTCAGATGATGCCAACCCTCAGACACCATAAAAAACTACCAAATTTTGCTATAATGGACATCAACTTCAGATAGTCACCACTGATAAGCAATTACTAAATATAATGTAGAATCTTTAATTTTCTGTAAAGCTGCTTTGCAACGATTTGCATCGTGAAAAGCGCAATACAAATAAACTTGAATTTAATTTAATTTAATTGAATACTCTCAGAGTCTATGTGGCTGCCATTTCGGCCTGTCATGCTCTGGTTGATTGGGTCTCTGTGGGTGTCAGACTCTGTTCCGTGTTTTGTGGTTGTTTTCCTAATGTGCCTTCCTTTCCCATGTTTAATTTGTCCCAGGTGTTTCCCTTGATTGTTTCATTGCTCCCAGGAGTGTCTCGACATCACCTACTCCTGTGTGTATTAATAATGTTACC